GTATCGTATCGTGTAGTTCACAGATCGTCTCGCTCGATTTCATCCGATTTCAAAATTGCGCATCATATCGTATCGTATCGTATCGTATCGTATCGTATCGTATCGTATCGTATAGTATCGTATATATTATACTTTTTGCTACGCTATCCACGTCATGTTGTTAAACGATCATACGAGCTGTAATGTATATCAAATCGATGTAAATTCTCTTTACCAAGTTTATTATTATCAACATAAAGCAAGCATATTATATACGATGGCTCTTTAGTGCTAACACGAGATGTTAATTTCGAGATGGAAATTTTATGTAGAGATACGATTTTAAATTGGCGTCTCCTTTCATTAAAACGCAGAAAAAGAGTAATCTGATCAATAAATAATAAAGAGTAAGAGAAATCTGATCGATATCGGTCCAGCCTACTTTATTCGATTTAGATACGAGAATAGATGCAATAAATAAAAATAACTGCGACTACTTGACCGAATATATATTACATATTTCATTCTTTATATTATCTAATACATAATAAGCAATTTACGCCTTACGCCGTTATCAGGTGGTTATCTTCATCGATAATAAACAATGTTTCGCCGTTTACAATTTACAGAGTCAGTGATTTTGTGAGTTGGTTAATAAAGTTTGTACTATTTGCTCCGAGAACCATTGGAATCTACCTTTTTGTAACAAAGATAAAAATGGAATCGATTAACGATCTCTTACCAATGAAGAAATATAACGTTTCAGAAACAGCAACAACCATCTTTGCTTTTTATAAAATATCCAAAATTCCCAACTACGAGTATGTCTGGAGTTAATGCATTTATCAAATATTGAAAAATGACAAAAGTGTATAAGATACAAAATAAGATATAAATATAATAGAAAATGTGCAAAGCAAAACACTTACTGGTTATAATTTTTAACTTGCAGTTTTTTGTTATTATTCTTCTTTGTTTGGTAAGAGTGTGAGATTTACATAAACATCCACGGTCTAATTATTTCATATTCTTATTACATATTACGATATACTATGTTAAGGAAGAAGATAGAAATATACGTGATACTTTCTGATCTAACAATTCTCAGAACAATTCTACTGTGAAAGTAGAAAGTCAGAAAAATAACTTGAATAAAAAACGACACAGCTATAGTGGGAGCGCGTTATAATCTTCAAAATGCGTAATTTCGAATTATTCTTAAAGATATCAGTACTATAAACATATATACATACATATGATGATATGATATGATATCTTTAACAATAGTACATACATATTATATTATTGCTATTCTTGTCAAAAGAGTTAGAAATAATAGTTAACCATAATTTTATCCGGTTATAGAGGATTACATAATATAAATTATAAATAATAAATACCTATTGTTCAGTCTGCTAGAATTTCCCTAAGGCTAAATTCATGGCTACCCCCACGCGTTAATCGAGAACAAAAAAATTAACTGAAAAAAAGTGAGGTGTAGAACATAGATTGCAGATGATAGGTACTATAGGGTGTTTTCACGAGACCTTTGCACTTCCGTTTGATTCGTATTTTCATAGCGACGAGAATCAAAAATCGCGAGAACGGCTACGTTGAAGCGTTACCAACGCGACCACCGGCCGACAACAATAATTCGTTTCCGTCGCGTTGAAACTGCCAAAATAGACGCTAATCATGCCTTGGCAGGGCTAACTGAAAAAAGCGGTTAAACGTTCCTGGAAACTACAACGAGGGAATCGATCGTAATCGTGACGTAAGAGAATGGGATCGTTGAATTTGCTTTCCCGATGAACATGATCGAACTAACTTGGGAAATCAGAGCTGTCCGAGTACTCAGAATGAGCCAGAATATATACAGGATTCGACCGAATAACATGTAAAAGCAGGCGTATAATTCCTTGTGTAAAAATAAAGCAAAATATAGAACAACATTTTTTTATTCTCGGCTTAGTTTTCGACAAAGTCGAATTTGAAAATTTATTAAGTATACTTGAACATGGTTAATTTCGAACTGAACGGGGCTAGATACATAATCGACAGGAGGCCGTTCTGTGTAAATAAGTCAAAAATGTAGAATAAAATTGTTTCTTTTAAGACTTCATTTTCAAGAAAGTAGAATTTGGACGTGTCTAGTTAAGAATCAGCCTAGTACACGCGTATGATAAATTTTCAAATTCTTTTTTTTCGGAAACACAGTGTCTTGTGAAAAAATCTTATTCTACATTTTCGACTTATTTTTCACGCATAGAATGATCTCCTGACGATTATTTAGTCCTGTCCATTGCGAAATTAGTCATGTTCAAATATACTCGATAAATTTTCAAACTCGACTTTCTCGAAAACTAAGTCGAAGGTGAAAAAATTGTATTCTATATTGTTTTCTTATTTTTACATAAGAAATCACGTCGTGCCCGCTTTTACGTGTTATTCGGTCGGACCCCGTATTATTTCGACAGCTTCGTGTGTTGAGGAATCGAGTCTTTATAATGGAATTTTCAGCTGTTTTGAAAAATCATTGAATTGAAAGTATTGAAACGGGCAATTAGTTATAATCAATGGAATCTGTTTTTTTCAAATACGCTCTAATAGTTTGTTATTCGAATAATTGTTGACTTATTACATATTTGGACGCGCTTAAAAAAATATTCTGGATTCGACTACTTTTGATTTAATACGTCGGAAGAAACGAGTTGGAGTTTGACTCTTCGAATTCTTGAATATTTAATGTTTCGAGTAATAATGTTTTTTAATATTAAAATTTTCGATCGAATATTGCATGCTTTTGAGTATTTGGTTTTTTCAATGGAATTCGTTTAGCATCGAAGATTTCAAGTTTGTATATTGGGATTTTTTAACATCGAAATTTTTACTTTCTCGTATCTGCTCGAATCACTTTCAATACTCGAATTTTTCGTTAATTAATCTAGTATTTATTGTACCTACCTACGATTAGATATTTCAAATTCAAAGAAAAAATCAAGCTCGTTACATTAATTTCAATTTGTCAATCGTTTAAGTTAGTCATACACCATAAAGTCGTTTGATTTATGTTTCACGTATATAGTCAGAAATTAAAAGGATTAACGACCATAAGTAGAAATATCAAAAATATCGTAAATGAAGTAACTTTACTTAAAAACAATATTGTATTAAAAAAAAATTTAGTCTACGCCAAAATGTACTCAAATATAATTTTAAAAGATTCCATTTTGTAAATTATTACTCTATTACCATAAAACTGAAACTTTTTAAGCTACTATAAAAATCAAACAATTATTAGCTCTGATAGCAAATCCGGAAACGTTTCACGGCGAATTCGTTATGTCGAATTCGATAAAACGGGCGTGATTTAAAACTGGCAATGAAACATCTACATATGTAAGAAGGATAATGATAATCTTTATCCGACGTATCTATATATTTAATTTGTTTTATTTTACGCGGTGCGTTTCACGAAAGGAACGCATTACCGACGAGCTTCACCGGTACACCGCGCTGGTTGATCGCTTGTTTTATTGCTCTGTCCATAATTTATTCCTCAATAACGTCCAATTAACGCTGGAATTAAGTTAAAAAATCACTTTTGCCGGATACTCGAGTTGGGAAAGCACATTGTTTGCCGCGATTATCGCGGACAGATATTGCTTCTATTTATTTCAGATAACGCGATTACGCGAAGCAAATGTTGTTTTACGTCCATAGATGTAGTAAAATTAATTACTGGTCCCTGATATGAACATCGATATCGTTCATCCCCTAATGTCATGATTTACCATTGTTACGAAATTTATCGCACAGTCTGTTTCAATGTAGAAATTTAACGGTAGTGGTATTACGTTCAATTATTAAACATATAAATGACAATTCAAAACAGTTCATGTAATATTGCGATATTACACGAGATACTCCCCGTAATCTAGAATATTTGAACTTAATGAACTTAGTAAATTAAATAACACAGTGTTTCGAGTAAATGTTCATTGGCGTCAAATGAGGAACTTACTAATGTAAAAGAAATTTCAAAAATATCATTTTCTTCATAAAAAACAAAAATCATCCTGTACTTAGTACTTTTCTGAATAGGACCATATATTTCTCTCGTCATATCTTTATACTACTTTACAAAACGAATTCATTTCATTCGTTAATGTTAACTAATTTGATTCGTTTTTGACTTGCCACTTACTACTTCATCGTAGATACATAAGTAACATTGATATTCCAAAACTAATGAAAACTATAGATAGAAGAATATGACGAAAAGAATATATGGTACTACTGAAAAGATACGAAATAAACATAGAAAAACAAGATACAAAAAGACACAACTTTTACTCGAAACATTTTATTTGTCAAACTATGAGCTGAAACATCTTGGTAACCAATATGTGAACCACTCTGTATATAAAGGTTATAAGACATTTATTGCAAACATACAATAAGTAGATCTTTCGTGACTTGTACGTACATTTTTGGATTTGTTGAAAATTTTACCAATTGTATAATCATGATAGTCGTATTATGTCGCATGTTATAAAAAAATATTTTGTATAACACATAATATACATATTCAGAAAAATTATCTTAAATTATCTTAAATATTCCTCACAAATGTTGGATCGTAATGTAATTTGTAACTTGTATCGTTGTGTATAGTAGATAACTTTTATATATGTATATTACAACAAATATCTATACGTACGTAAATCGTTTGAATTGTCATTTACATGTTCCAATTCAATGTAAATGTAACATATATTCAATTTTAATAGAAACATATAAATAATTTATTCATGATTGTCAAAATATCGAAGAATTAAAAAATCAAAACGATTTTCGAACGAAATCATCGTTTTCGTAAACCCAATAGAAATAAATGGATCGTTCGAAAGATTAACCTTTGTCGACTGAAAACGACATATCGGCGATTAAAGAGAATTTGATTTTTTTGATCAGTGAGAAATTACTGTCGTGGCTAAATACACATGCAAATACGTTACCTCCGGGCATATGTGGTCATATCATTCTCCAAGCTGGTGCTAGCGAAGCAATAACCATCGGTTTCGCACGTGTGATTGGTGTCCGTACAAATATCGCAATAACACTTCAACAGTCCTGAAAAACGAAAAAAAGAAAGAAATTTTATTGACAATGGTAAACCAGTTGAATGTCATCGAATATCACGCATTCGATGCATATGAAATGTCATTTGTTTGAAGTTTGAATTTGGTGCGCTATTACCACCCTTTAAATTTTGTTTTATCGTGATGGTGAATTATCATCCACTATATTAAATGAGAAGAATCACACATAGGTATGATTCATACTCTTCCTTCTACTATGAATCATACATATTCAATGTCAAGAAAATTTATAACAAAGATATCAAACTTTGTTATTCTGACATTAACGCGTTACACAAATTTATTCTTTTAAATTTCCCGCATATCGCGACATATTTCAATGCTTGCAATTTTTTAAATAGATATTAAAAGCGTAACAATTTTTTTTTTTTTGCATGTGTGATACTCAAATATATTCAAATATATTTTACAATATTCTCTGGCAGAAAATATAAGATTCAAAGATATTTACGCAACTATTTAAATTTAAATGAACTCGAATTTAAATTCCTCGTAATAAGTTGGGCAAGCTAAAAAAAACGTCGCTTCGAGTGCAACTCGATTTACTAAGAAAAACGATGGAAGCATTATCTCCTCGGTAATTTATCACGTGCTTGATGACTGATGACGCACGTCATTTCGATCGTACCATGTACCTTCTTTTTTCACTCGAACCTGTCTAGCTGTATATCGAAATATGTACATACATATTGTAGTAACAAATATCAAGACAAGTTCACCATCACTGGGATTTCAAGGTTTCCTTTCCCAAAATTTTATGTATACTTTATGATTAGCATTTAATACATGACATACGATAGTCCAATCGCAAAATATTTGATTTCTCTTTGATTAGATACTATCAAAATGGCAGTTGATAGTACGTTATTTTTTCGATATTTGAAACTTTTTCTGATACTTTTCTATATAAGATACAATATACTAAAATTTAAGATTAATTATCATAGTAAATACAATTGCGTACACGCAGCATGGAGCATGAAACACAGAGTATGTAATATGTACACGCGAGTATGAATGTTAATACAATGTATATGATCTTAATAGAATTCAAACAAATTCAGGAAATTTGGAAAAACTTTACTTAATAAGTAATTATTTACTTTACTTAATAAGTAAGTAAATATGCAATTGTAATTAATTATTCAAAGTTTTTACTATGCCAAAGTATTACTTTTTCTATAAATCGCACAAAATGAAAAAAAGGTTTTACGATTAAAAATCGTAATTGATTGGAATTTTTTAATTGGAATTTAATGTTGTATTAACTATAAGGTTACTAGCGATATTATAGCAGAATATATTATGTGGCAAACAAATATTAACATTATAGTAATATTCGTTCTTTAATTTAAAGTTTTTATTATATAATTTAGTATTCGTTTATGAAGAATTTCAATTTTTATCAACTGAATCATATAATAATTTCTAATACATTAACAGAGATAAAAATGAACGAAATTCCCCATTTCGTATCATATCCGTCATACCCTAATCTAAGCTACGAGAATAAAAAGAGGAGTCAAAACGAGGCAATCGAGAAATTTAGTCGATTCGCGGAAATATATAATCACGTGTACAATATCTTTCCGTGGATCAACAGAACACATGATTTCGGAGAGGTGGTACGACCTGACGAAACAAGTTTAATTCAAGTCATTAGTGCACGCCCACAGCGAATGGTCTCGCGAACCGAGACCACCTCTTTCGCCGCAGCGGACACAGATCGTAGAGTCCCACGAAACTCGAGGAAATATATACCACCTGTATGGGATTCACAACATGCCGAGCCCCATACAGCGTTTTTTGCGCGCCCACGAGATCCGTTATGGACTATGGACCCTTCCTATAGCCAGAGCGTTTCGTATGGAACCACCTCTGTAAATTCAAACCTCGTGCGGATCTGTTTTAGTATAGTATGGTCTAGCGAAGAATTTTTAATCCTCTCATCGAAGGACCACGAAAGGTATTTTAGAAAGAGCGCGAGAGAGAGAGAGAGAGAGAGAGAAAAGAGAGTCCCAACTCGTTTCTTCGAAGATGTGGGAAAAATGTGGTAATATACGTGGTGCGGGTGAAGTCAGGGAGATACTGGGGTTCAAAATTTTATTTCACTGCTCTTTATTGTTTGCACCTATTTACGGCAGTAATTGCATTTATCTTATATATGCCTGACATACATTACAATTAAAAATGAGGTTTGGCTTCATTACATTAAACTGATTAAACGGTAAGCGCTATGGAGTATTTTATTATAGATATCTTGTTATCCAGAATTATGAATATAAACGAATATTTATTCGAAAAAGACCACAGTTGTCAGAGTTTCTTTTACGAAGAAACTCAATTATCTAACCCAAATATCAAAGAAAGAAAATTTGTCATTTACTGGTATATATAGTTGTACAATATATATACTCCCGAATAGATGATCTACTACAAAAATAAATTGTATTTTTTTCCTTTCTCCCTGTCCTTACAAATTGAAACGAGAGACGTATAAACACATCGCGTCACAAGCACATGTATAATATAATCATATCCACACATGAACCTAGCGCCAAAGTAAAAGTATCACAAATATTTTTATGGATACCTCGAAAACTAAAGAGGACGTCACAGCAGTTATATGTATAGGAAGACGTTGCTCAAAATGTTAATCTTCTTTTATACATGATTTGCATAGTAACTAATCTGAAAAATATCTTTGTTTCTCCGATCCAAGTTTCATCTTCACTAGTTACCGTAGATCAAAGTGTTAGAAAAATCGGAAGCTTTTTTCGCAGTTTCTTTTACAAATTAATCTCACTAGCAAACGCGTGTACCGTCCGAAAGGACAAGAATACGATACTTTATTCTCGATTCGACTACTTTCATTTTCGAGAAAATTGATAATATGTCGTCTGGAAGCAGCGTCGATGCAAGAGTAAAGTAGTCAGCCTTGTACTTATGCTAGCTCAAACTTTTGTTCTGGGTTGTTGTCAGGTCTACGTGTTCCCTTTGTTGTATTATTTTTGTTACAATGTAGAGAAATGTCCATTCTATTATAAATACAGCTTTTCATATTATTTCTTAAATTAGATATAATAGCGAAATAATACTTTGGAACAATGTTTAGAGCAAGTTGAACAATCCAGGACAACTTTCAATTTACATGTTCAAAAAATTCCAAAAAGAGGGCCATATCAAAAATTCACTCTTTCGGGATGATTTCTGAAACTTTTCGAGATAAATCATTATTTATTTGGAACAAAATAATAAATGTACTTTTAAATTATTGTAGGATGTATAAGATATATTTGTAATGAACATCTTTGATCTACTCTTATCCTCTGATATTATCAGGCAACTATATAGAGTTGATGGATATTGATAAACCAGCTGTTATAGATGGAGAATATCTTGTCTCCTGCTGCACTTTTCAAATTCCTTGAAGCGCACTCAGGAAACAGAAACGCCTTTCTCTTAAACATTTATCTAAATCTAAACAATGAAGGAACAACGGCAGCGGTTGTACTTTATAGATAAAACGCAAAGCGTGTACGATACATGCGGGGGTGTCGTTCCCAGAACTCTTGAGGCATTGTGGTTTCCATATGTATACGATAAATTCTCCAACCTCTACTACGAAAATTTGGAGATTTTTCATGGTATATAAGGAGCTGAATAAATCACGCTCCTCGGACAGAACAGAGAGGACGTCATGAAAAGTATCGTCGTGCTACTTCGCGTCACGTTTTTAACAGTCAATATAGTCGTATAGTGAGATCGGGCTAAAATTCCCTTCCAGTCAATCGTCGGATTTCCTCGTCAGAATTTACGAATCAGTTTAAATTGAGTTTGATATCGCTTTGAAACTGCTCTTAATTTTAAATCTTAAGACATTGCCAATGCGTCAAAACCGTGCGACTAAACTTTAAGGTAATACACATTATGCTTGTTTATCCGCGACACATACATACTTATAACAATGTTTTATTTGCAATAAATACAGTTGTGTTCTCTACAGTTTTCTACAACTATAACATAATTGAACTTATCTACAAGATACGACATTACTGCTCGAGTCAATTCTTATTAATCTAGTTACGAAGCTTTTACTAACATTCCCTGCGATCCTCTGTTTTCGCATCAGATTCATTCGCGCGTCTCGATCCAAAAGAGAATCTTTTTAATCGAGTGGCTCCCCGATTCCGCGTCGAGTTAAATAGTTTGCTTACGCCGCCTGTCTCGATGATTCGCCAATTTCGCATCGCGTTCGTTCACGCAATTCCAACTTTCAACCTCTTGCGGCTGACTCGCTGACCTCGCGCCAGGTTCGTCTATATACATATCTGCTAGTGTTAATGCTAACACACCGCAACCGTATTCCCTAAGCCCCAAAATACTCTCGCCGGCCTCTCGCGCTGCCGAAGCCCCGGCTCGTAACTCGTAACGGAGCGATAATACACATTAAAATGAACATTGATTCTGCAAGGACGCCCGAGTTAGCTTATAATTAACGATCCGTTGCACTCGGAGTGCCAATTACGCTGCTACCAATCTCTTTCCCTTTTATATGAACCTTTTAAATATATCGGATTTGCAAAATTATTATGCACGAGTTTTGATTCAAAAATATTTGTATTCTTCTCAAATCCTTACGTAATCGATTCATAGGAATATTATAAGTATTAAATTTAGGAATAAATAAGACATTAAAAATATGTCGTATGCGTGTATATGAAAATGATACGATGACAAAGACTCCAACAATCGGCGGCTATGTAAATTTTTTCAATAAGAAATTCATAGGGTAATTTATTTTACAACGAAATTTATCGATATTTTAGCTTTCGAAAAATAAATCACTGATTTATTAAGTGTTGTAAACAATCAAATGTATACCTAACATTATAAATTATAACAATCAATTTAAATAATCATAAAAATGGAAAAATACATATTTAACCGTGATATCAAAAAGAAATTAAT